TAAAAAAAATTATTGGCTTCTACTGTGGTACTATTATTATTGTTATCATTATCATTTCTAGGTTTTTTTCAAATCTCCCAGTTAAGGAATTAATCCAGTTCAAAACACAAAATTCAGAGACTGACCTCAAAACATTGGATAATTTTCCGTTACTCTCAATTCCTCTCTTCTTAAAACTTAAAATGGTAAAGAAGTGTGAAAAAACGCAACAAAATAACCTCTTTTCAGAAAAACTTAAGAGCTTCAATAATAAAGCTACTGGTTGTAAAGTTGAAAAACAGCCCTTCCAGGCTTCTCTGGCTCTGGCTTCTAGAATCCAAAAGAAGAACTTCTGTGGAGCAAACGCAGAGCTCTTTCTTTTGAGGAAATGTAGGTTTGGCCAAACTAACAGGCAAAGATGTAAAGATGTTCCTACCTATAGCCATCGATCAATTAAAGTGCCACATAAGTGTCTCCTTCCAGTGTCTGTACTTTCAACGCTTGTCAGAATTCATTCTTGAACATTAACAACCACTAACTGTGACATTCAAGCAGACAGTTCTACCTCTATTGCTGAATAGCCAAAAAGCAACAGGACATGGAATAGAGGAACATGGCTACTTCAAATGAACTCATTTTTACTAAAAGTGAAAGAATTGCTTATACAAATTCTGAAAAATCTAAATGAAAGCTTTCAATCAAGCCATTAGACAAGACACATAAATCCTGTTAAAATTATGGTCAGAAAAATCTCTTTCTAGATGAGCTTGTGGTGTTTTGTAATTTCTTTTAGTCAAAGAGAACTACCCAACTAACTGTGTTTTTTCCTTTCTGCCTGGGAGCCAGAAAAATGCCTGAATAAAGTAACACACAAGTTTCTCAAAGTCTTATTCTCCTATCATTCACCTTAAGCCACTATTTTCTAAATTTCCCCAAGAAATCAATAAAGGAGTAAAAGCAAGTAACTTCTCATATTTTATCTTGGAAAATCATGACAAATCTGCAATCTACTCCACAGTATAGTTATACCTGCCTAAGTTACTTTAAAAAAAATTTTTCTGACAATTGCTTGACATTTTTTAAATTTGCATTGTTGAGGAAAACTTACATTCTAGAAAAATAATGTACTTTGTCATATGACTTCAAACACCTGGGCACCATGCCAACTGTACATAGGAGTCATGCCTATTAATTTTTTAAAATTTCAATTTATCTGAAAAAATTGTTTTTATTGGAGGTGGCTTTATTTCCATTCTTGAAGAAAGATATACCCAAATTAAAATAGTGTTTGCTCTGGCTAATGGAGATTTACAAGTTAAATGAGTCACAAAAAATCGTGCATTTCGCCCTAACTGGTTTAGCTCAGCGGATAGAGCGTCAGCCTGCAGACTGAAGGGTCCCAGGTTCGATTCCAGTCAAGGGCATGTACCTTGGTTGCGGGCACATCCTTAGTAGGGGGTGTGCAGGAGGCAGCTGATCAATGTTTCTCTCTCATCGATGTTTCTAACTCTCTATCCCTCTCCCTTCCTCTCGGTAAAAAAATCAATAAAATATATTTTTTAAAAAAATCGTGCATTTCCTTATTCACTAAATGCTTATTCCGTTTTTGCTATGGGCAAGACATTATACTAGGTTCTGGGGAGGTACAAGATAAAGGGACACACTCTGTGAAGTTACTGCCCTTTCTATCTTGTAATCAGAGAATGGAGGAGGATAGAAGAATGAAACTGGGTATAAGAGGCAGTGAGAGGCAGAGAAATACAAACAATATGTACTACAAAGCAGACTGACTTTAACAGCAGAACAAAACTGCTTGATAGGAAGAGAAAATTTAATTCTGCCTGAGAGGAATCAAGGGTTAGATATGATGAAGCAAGTAACATTTTAATTACTTGTGAATGGGCAACAAGGACTTGAGATGTCAGCAAAGCACAAGTTAAGTTTGTATGGATACATGACTGAATGGAAGGGGATGAATGGGAGAACTAGAAAGGTAAACTGCAGCAAACAGTAAGAAATTCAAAACCATTAAGGATGGATGAGCAGGGAGTAGGCATACTTGTAATTGTTTTAGAAATATAGCCAGTACTGTAAAGAGTCAGATGAGAGGAAACTAAATGCAGAGAAATAAGTTAAATTATTAGAAGTCCAAGGAAACATGGGGAAAAAGCTAATTACAAAACAATACTTTAAAATTCAATCCTGTATTTATGAAGGAAAAATACACATATTCCAATCAAAACTATATTCATACACCCAGAAAACTGTCTGGAAAACATGGAACCAAAATGTCTACATGCCCAGAAGGCATGGCTCAGTGATTGAGTGTAGACCTATGAACCAGGAGGTCACGGTTTGATTTCCCATCAGGACCCATGCCCAGGTTGCGAGCTTGATCCCCCGGTAGGGGGCATGCAGGAGGCAGCCAATTGATGATTCTCTCTCATCAATGATGTTTCCACCTCTCCCCTTTCCTTCTTCTCTGAAATCAATACAAGTATATTTTAAAAAAACAAACCAAAAAACAAAATCTCTACAGTGGTTACCAAAGGTGATGGGATTATATGGGTGACAGTTTCTTTTTTATAGTTTGCTTTAATTGATGAATCTTTTTTACAAAGAACATACAAGAAAGCTATTTCTATTTTAAATGATAATAAAAGTTTGAAGAGAACAAAAGGCTGTTTTGTTTTTGTAAACAGAAAAATAATAAATCTATATTGGATCTGGTCTGCTTGAGGTGCCAAAAGGAAGTAGGAAGAAAGGAATAACAAAGAAACACAAACTCAGATTTTAGCTATTTTTTGCTTTGTTGAGATAATAATGTATACATTACAATACGATATATAAAAATTCCTTTTCTTTAGGTTAGCTTTATATAGCCACCCACCTGAGGAAAATAAGACTTATTTTCAGTATTTTAGAACCTGTATACTTCTAAAAGAGAGGGCAACTAATAAAAATTGTGTAGGTTGAAATTCTAGAGAAGATAACACTATGGAAAACATACCCCATTAGAAGCTTTCTTCTTTGCTTTCCATTCATCCAGTTGTGCCTTTGTCTTTGCATCAACTTTAACAAGCAGTTTCTTCTCTCCAATCTGCAGGTCATGCAATAACCTGAGTGCACGGAGGGTAGATTCAGGCTCCTTATACTCACAGAATCCAAAGGCTAGCAATAGATGTAAAGAATTAGTAAAATATCACTATAATAATGATAGATGAAGAGTATTTATGAAAAGTTAAAATCATTAAGAGATAAAATATTATAATACAAGGATTATTCATGTTGTCACTCCACCCTTTCCTTCAATTTCCTTTGAAAAGGGTTTCACTTTTACACCCTTAACCAAAAGAACAAAGACAAAAACAGGGGTAAAAGAAAAATTCTAACCAGGCAAACTACTACTTATTAGAAGTGCTGATAATATAGTTAACAAATTCAGCACGTTTCATGATTGTTCATTATGTCATGAACTCATTCCATCCAGACTTTCTAACAGCTATAAATGAGAACAGGCTGTTCTCATTTATTCAACATAAATACAACATTTTTCTGAGAAGTTAATCTATAAAAGTAACAATCTCTTATGCTGGTTATTCATCTAATTTTTTTCTGTATCTTTCATTTCAATAACTAGTCTTTTTTTTTTTTAAATATATTTTATTGATTTTTTACAGAGAGGAAGGGAGAGAGATAGAGAATTAGAAACATTGATGAGAGAGAAACATCGATCAGCTGCCTCCTGCACATCCCCCACCGGGGAAGTACCCACAACCCAGGTACATGCCCTTGACCGGAATCAAACCTGGGACCGTTCAGTCCGCAGGCCGACGCTCTATCCACTGAGCCAAACCGGTTTTGGCTCAATAACTAGTCTTACTATTATCATGACTTTATATCAGAGATATTAAAACAAAATTAAATTTAAAAAGAATAACCCAGCCGTAGCTCGTTTGGCTCAGTGGATAGAGCATCCACCTGTGGACTGAAGGGTCCCAGGTGCAATTCTAGCCAAGAGAACATGCCCGGATTGTGGGCTCAATCCCCAGTGGGGGGCATGCAGGAGGCAGCAGGTCAATGATTCCCTCTCATCATTGATGTTTCTATCTTTCTCTCCCTCTCCTTTCCTCTCTGAAATCAATAAAAATATATTAAAAAATAACAAAAATTTAAAAAAATAGAGTAATCTAAAAATTGGAAGTAAAATTAAACAAGTAAATCCAAACATTTACATAAGTTAATGACATAACCATACACAAAGAAACTATTCTGAGTAAACCTAAAACAGTAAATTTAACCGTACATTTTTAGTGTGACATATCCTAAGGACGTCTAAAATTACTGTAAGTGAAAAGTGAGGTGAAACAAGCCAGTAATTACTTAATAATCTCAATAAATAAAGAAAAAAGAACCTACCTTGAAGTTTTCCAGATGCACCTTGTACTCTCTTCCAGCTTAAAACCAAGCCACATTTCTTAAAAAGGAAAAAAAAAAGTTACCACTTAACAAAATTAACACAACTCTATTAGCACTAAGAAAAAAACAAGCAAAAAAAAGATATTAGCAACTAAGTTTCTTAAAATTCTCAGTTCCTACAAATCTATTATATGAAATATATAACAAATTATTTCAAAGAAAAATATAAATTCTTACTGATTCCTATTTGCAGAAAATTGTTTTAATAAATTAGAAATTTTACAGCATTATTTATCCTACAAATATATATATCAATGCCCAAGTTATAATAGTCAAAACTATAGTAAATTCAATTAAATTCATAAAAATTTTGTTTTAAAATAGATGTATATATTAAAAAGTTTTAGTGACATGCGAAAGTGCTTGATATGGGATGCAAAACATGGGACATGAAATTGCAGATATATAGTAAGATTTTAATTATGAAAAAGTGAATTTTCATAAAATGATCAGAAATATTCCAAAATGTTAAGGGGCAGGTTGTGTGATCGGTGGGACTTTATTACAACTTTTTTCCCCTTTCAATTTTAAAACATTATTTCTAATTATTAAAAAACAAGTAGGTTTAAAAAAAATTACTTCTAGAAAATACCTGGTTTGCCTGTCAAAGCTGAATATAAATGTTTCACATCTCCCTTCAGAGAAACCACTAAAATATTTTTTCTCTTTGTTTTTATAATCAAATAATATAAAAGGTAAAAACACTTGAAGTCTAACACTGCATGAGAAACAGCAGCAAAATTCAACAAAATTTTTAAATGATGGATGGTAACTCATCCTATAGAGCAGCGGGTTCTCAACCTGTGGGACTCGACCCCTTTGGGGGTTGAACGACCCTTTCACAGGGGTCGCCTAAGACCATCGGAAAACACATATATAATTACAGATTGTTTTTGTGACTAATCACGATGCTTTAATTATGTTCAATTTGTAACAATGAAATTGGGGGTCACCACAACATGAGGAACTGTATTAAACGGTCACGGCATTAGGAAGGTTAAGAACCACTGCTATAGAGCAAAGAAAGCTATCACTCCAAGTGTCTACAGAGGCAGATACTGGTGAAAAAGAAAGGCTAAAGTGATTCTACAAAGCCAAGTAGATCTAGAGGTCAACAAAAAGGGGGGAGGGTGGCCGTGGCTGTGTAACTCAGTTGGGTAGAGCACCATCCAAATATGCTAAGGTTGCAGATTCCATCTCCAGTCAGGGCACATACAAGAAACCATCAATGAATGCATAAATAAGTAGAACAAGAAATCGATGTTTCTGCCTCTCTCTCTCTCTCAATAAAAAAATAAAAATAAGGTAGAGTGGAAAATGGGGTTGAAGCATGAAGCTGAATAAAAACAGGTGCTTGCCTAAAAATATAAATACAGCATAATTAAAGTCAAAGTTCTTCTTAAGTAACTACCTTAGTCCCCACCCCCAGAAGAGAGGAAGAGTTTAGTCTGAAGAAGGTGAACACACAAGCTTGTGATATGAAGCACCAGATATGAATGAAAGTTTGGATAAGATATCGAGTGGGTAACAAAGAAAAAAGGTAAAAGTATAAGAAATGCTTGGGGGAAAAAAAAGAAATGTTTGAGCCTGGCCTGTGTGACTCAGTGGTTGGTCATCAACCTATGAAAGAGGTCATGGTTTGATTCCTGGTCAGGGCACATGCGTGGGTTGTGGGCTGGATCCCCAGTGGGGGATGTACAGGAAGCAGCTGATCAATGATTCTCATCATTGATATTTCTATCTCTCTCTCCCTTCCTTTCTGAAATCAATAAAAATATATTTAAAAAAGGAATGCTTGAAATTAGCCCTTCAACCCCAACCCATATACTCATGAGGCATGAACCAAATTTTCTAGAGAAAATAACCAGCCTCAAAGAAAAAGACCTCCACGTATGAATATTTAATACAGCTGGCTGTTGGTTAGACTGCTTAAAATGTCTAACATTTTACAAACCCAGTATAAAAAAGCCTTTTAATCCCTCTTTTTTAAAAAAATATATTTTATTGATTTTTTACAGAGAGGAAGGGAGAGAGATAGAGAGTTAGAAACATCGATCAGCCGCCTCCTGCACATCCCCCACTGGGGATGTGCTGCAACCAAGGTACCTGCCCTTGACGGGAATCGAACCTGGGACCTTTTAGTCCACAGGCTGACGCTCTATCCACTGAGCCAAAACGGTTACAGCTTAATCCCTAACTCTTAAACATGACAAACAATCTAGGATCACCAGACATTTAAGGGAACACCTAAAAGTGGAAGAGAAATAAAAGGCAGAAAAGAGATCAATTTAGGAATCCAAAGAAAGCTTAAAAACAAAGCACTCTGTTGCACATATAAATCAAGAACAAGTTTTTTAAACGGATATTTCAAATGGAAAAAATATACACATCTCCATACAAAAATTTGTACACAAATATTCTTAGTACCATTATTCATAGTAACCAAAAAGTGGAAACAAACTAATTGTAAATTAACTGATGAATGAGTAAACAATATATGGTAGAGCCATTAAATGGAAAACCATCAGGCCATAAAAGGGAATGAAATACCAATCTATCTATATAAAAGGCTAATCCTCGGGCATGTTGGAGAGCCATTCCTACAGCGTGACGATTTTTGCCTTTTGCCCTAAGTCAGAGCCCACCTACATAAGCACCTATGTCACTCACATGGAGCACATACACAGCAGTAATGAAGTTAAATAATAAAAAAATTTTAAAGAAAGATAACAATCCCTGACCTTTACTTGTGGTAAATACAGTAAATAAGAAACATAAAGCACATATGTACATACGTCGAAATGATGGAACATTTTTTTTTACAAATAAATGGAGATGGCGATGCAATGTGACCACGAAACAAAGAACAGCGAGTCCAATGTAAACCAAGGACTATCTGTATGCTAAGTATTCTTCCCACCTTCTGACAGGTCGCTATGACACATACTAATCACCAAGGGGCAGACACTCCATGCAGGAACTGCCGTGATGCGCACAGAGAAATGGCACAGTGGACCTGGCACCCACAAAGTAACACCCAGCTTTCCCCAAGTGGGACACAGGTCCCGCCACCATCCTGGAGCACCAGCCCACCAAACTGCAGCCTACGATGCCAAGACCCCATAGTGCAAAATGCAGCCCACAGCCCAGCCCAGAAACGGTGGCTGTGGGTGCCGGGCAATAATGTCACGTAGCAACGCCCGCCTTCTTCTCCCTAGCGACTAGCCTCCTTGCAGTTTCTTCAGCCCAGGAATAGGACTTGCTTCATAGCCAGGTGGAAACATTTTAAACTTTAACCAAATGACTGTGAAGCGTTTCTCGTGCCTCATCTCATTTGATCCTCATCACAGAAGCCCTGGAGTAGGTACACAGGAGACTCAGTGGAATTCTATTTTCTTTTCATTAGCCAGAAAAAAGAGATTTAGAAAGCTTAGAAACTTGACCCGACTGAAAAGAAGAAATGGTGGACCTTGACAATGACTTCAGGTTTTCTCACTGCACAGAATATAGTCAAATACTGCTGTAGTTAAATATTTTACCCTTTATTCTCGATGCGTGATCTACAATAATAATCTGCTTCGTGTAGATATTTACTACTATGTTGGTGACAATTACCTGAAAGAGAAGTTGGGGTGCTTCGCTGGGCTGGAAAAAGTTTATCTAAATCAGAAAGCAGGTCTAACTAAGTAAGTTTATTTTTTATATATAAAAGGCTAAGTTGACTTGCCCATGCACAAAAAAGCTCTTGCTGGCATGCATGTGTTGTCGATCGTCAATTTGGTTCACACTCTATTATAGAGAAAGAATGAATAGCGGCTCTGACCGGTTTGGCTCGGTGGATAGAGCATTGGCCTGCGGACTCAAGGGTCCCGGGTTCGATTCCGGTCGGGGGCATGTACCTTGGTTGCGGGCACATACCCAGTGGGCAGTATGCAAGAGGCAGCTGATCGATGTTTCTCTCTCATCGATGTTTCTAACTCTCTATCCCTCTCCCTTCCTCTCTGTAAAAAAAATCAATAAAATATATTTAAAAAAAGAGTGAATAGCGATATTAAACTATTCCTTCTAATTAATTTCCTTTCAATGTGCACGAATTCATGTACCAGGCCACAAGTACAAACTATTATATGTACCTTGAAAACATTATGCTAACTGAAGTTAAAAAGGTCACATATTTATAATTATGTTATATAAAATGCCCAGAATAGGCAAATCCATAGAGACATAAAGTAGAAGAGTGGTTGCCAAGGGCTACAGAGAGAAAAGAATGGGAAGGGACTGTTAATGGTTACAGGGTTTTCTACTTAGAATGATGAAAATGCTCTGGAATTAGTAGTGGTGTTTGTGCCACTTTCTGAATATACTAAAAATACTGAATTATGGTACATAAATTATATCACAATGAAGATGTTTTTAAAAATGTCTTTGCAACGTTCCACTTTTGGAAAAATTAGCATCATCTTGTTAAAGTGAAGATAAGCATGCCCTACCACAGAAATTCCACTTCTAAAAGAAAACATGATATAAATGTATTGAGGTTCACCTCTGAAGAGGTGCTATTACTAGTTATATCACAAAACACAAAAAAAGGGACCAATCCATATGACCATCAGTAGAAAATTGACAATTTATGGTGTATTTCTACAATGCAATAACATACAGAAGTTGAAAGTAAATAGAGCTACACGTTAGGTGAAAAAAGCAAATCGTGAAGGAATACAAAAATAAAACTAGTGCCTTGGCTGGGAAGCTTGATTGGTTAGAGTGTCGTCCCAAGATGCCAAGGTTTCAAGTTCAATCCCTGCTCAGGGCACATATAAGAATCAACCAATGAATGCATAAATAAGTGGAAAAACAAATCAATGTTTCTCTCTCTCTCAAATCAATAAATTAAAATATATGTGTGTGTGGCCAAAACCGGTTTGGCTCAGTGGATAGAGCGTCGGCCTGCAGACTGAAAGGTCCCAGGTTCGATTCCGGTCG